TGTATTACTGTACTTTCTCCACTAGATGTCTCCAGAGAAATATAAGCAAATACTGCTAACAAAAATTACTGCTAAAAGCACACATTTTTTAAATTGCAAAAGTACCCAATCAATTAGGGTCAAGTAGTTACATTGATTGAGTACTTAATATAAATGTGAGACTTGTCATTTGATAGGCTTTTAAAGGAAGTGAACATTTAATTTTCTGTAGGAAAGATGGCATACTAACCACATTATCACAGAACCTTCTGGCTTGCTTCTAATGAATTAACAATTACTTTGGGGTATAGTTAATCATCCTTTCTCTGAATATGATTTAATTATCTTAGATATGTTGGTCAGAATACTCTTTGAAGATTTATGGTATATACACAGAAGAAATCCATGCGAATATGATACCAAAAAGATGGCTTAGAAGTTGTCCTCCTTGTAACTTTACAATGTGTCCGCCACAAATATCTGAGCCTATATATTGCCTTTTAAACCTCTTCAAGTTGGTCATTGATGTTCAATTTTATTTTGGCTGTATGTATATTTCAAAGAGGGACAAAAAATCATTTATAGGGCTGCTACCCAAGTACTAGGGAAGAATGGGACCTCACTAGCAATGATAGTTGGACACTGGCAGTGCTTTCCCATTATTTCACAAAATAAATATATTACATGTAATTTAGTTAGCGCCACAAGGTGATAAGGAATGTTTTCAATATCCATGAATCATATGTTGAAAGCAGTGGCTTAGAAATAATTTGGTGCAAATACTTACCCTGGATCATTAAAACCAAGGAAATATTGGTTATAAAAAATCTGCTTTGGCTTAAGTGTATCCAGGTTTGTTGAATATATAGCCATATCCGATCCTATACAGTGTAGGGTAAGTTTAAGCCTGGATACATGCTGGTGACAGTAAGCATGGCATTTACAGTGACTTCGTGGTCTCCAAAGGTTACAAGCCTTATTCAAAGATTCACTAGATAATTTGCAAATACCAGTAAATTAGCATCCTGATATCAGAAACAAATGTCCCTGTCTTCAAGACACATTATTTCACTTCAGTTACATAATAAACCCATTTCTTTTTCGCTAATGACTTAACATTTCAGGGTCAACTTTGCAACCCTGCAAGTCAGACTTAATTATCATGATTTTCAATCTTCCTCTCAACTGCTAAGAAAAGGACGTGGGCCAACCCAGGGTCAGCATCCTTTCATGGGGCAGAAGAATAAGGGTCCTGTGTGAAGAGAGACAAAGAGGAGAGAGAGTAACGAAAGCAAATTTGATCCTTGATAAGCCCTCTGAAAGTGATGAATTATGTTCTTCCGAAATCTGTAAATACTTCTCTAGAACTTGAACCACCTTTTATTCCATTCTCTGGAGCTGTTTGCTTCCCTCACTCTACTCCAAACTGTCAGCTATGAATCAGGGTTCAATCATCAGCCTTCCTGCAGCCAGGGTCTGGATAAAGTAGTTGCTTAGACTTTCTTCCACTATCAAGCATATAATATCACACTTCTGGACTGGCTTCAGCTTTTTAAATTACAGTGCTATAATCTTTTCATATTTACCTTAAATTTTATTCTCTTGGCATTTCTCCCACTTTTAAATTTTAGTTTATATCACAACCTGGCCCTCATTTTCAAGATCCTGCCTTGATATCATTACTAATCCTAATTGTAAATACTTGTTGAGGGCTGGCATTTGTTGACTTCCATAGAATTATACAAGATTCAAACATGATGCTCAGAATGCATAGATTAAGACTCCATTATTTGAATTATGAAAAGAAGATTTAAGATCCTCTTTTTATTGTTGAGCACATATCACACTTTCCACAAAAAATGTCAAACCTGTCTCATTGTCAGAAAGAAGCAGTAATCTTTTGAAATATGAATGCATTTCCATCTTCACTACTCATTTCATGCAATTATTTGTCCATTTAGCTGAAGAAGTGGATGAATGGAAATCATTGATTCCAATGGATAAAACTGTGGTCACAAGAAACACCTGGTCAAAATGTTCTTGAAAAAAAATCAATATATTTTCAATTCATTGTAGGCTCTATTAAGAAAGCAGATAACATGGCAGGAACTTTTGATTCTGCCTTCACCCCTTATCATCATAATCAAGTCTACCTGTTATCATTCTGGACTGTATTTAAAAAGCTTTTTGTTTTACTCTTGTTACATATTAATCAAGTCATATCTTCTTTCTCTGAATACTTCATTCTTCACCTCTCATCAAGCCCCATTGGATTTTAATAGATTTCAGATATTTTCATGACAGAAAAAATTATAAACAGTCACAGCTATATAAAAAAAAAAGAGTTGCATTAATAGCAGTGAGCATGCCAATAAAGAGTAGATGACTATTATTAGTGGTGATGCTGGAGATGTTGAATACATCAAGTTTTATTTTTTCCTCTGTAATCTAAAATTCTATTATTATGTTTTAGGAAGTAAATAATCATGTCTAAGCAGACTAGCATTGAAGACTGTTTATATACTATATTAACAAGAATGTCCTAGCAGCTAATTTAATGATATTAAGTAGAACTAATTTTCATAAAACAATTCTATGTCCTACTCAAGAAATTACTGACCACCTACCATTTGCACACGGTAAGAGTAATAAACAGCTATTATACAAAGCAAACCAGAAACATACAGATGAAGTTAGAATGATTCCAGTCAGAAATGTAAATGAAAGATTAATACTCTCCTTTCCATGAGAGACTGGGAAAGGAATATAATTTAATTTTTATGCTATCTTCTCTCTAGCTCTCCTTTTGAATTATCCCTTTCTTTTCAATACCTTAATACCAAGATTTTAAAATTCAAGAGGATTCTGAATCATATTTCAGAATTTGTTATTTCATTGATGCTTTCTTACAAACAACTAAGCAGCTTTGCAGAATACTTTATCTCCCTAAGGCAAAACTCAACAGTAAACTTAAGACAAAACTCTTCCGACCGAGCATCCTCTCTGGCCTAATCCAGCCTCCCCTACTTGGACTGTCCCCAGTTGGACAACATGGAGAGTTCAAAGCACATTTATGTACATCACCAGTGGGAAGGCAACACTGATACGCTCTTACAAAGTAAGCACTTTGCAAAAATTATTGAATGGCACATTTACTGTGGGATGTGTATAACTTGTTTATTCCAGTAGGCTGCAGTTATCATTTCACTTATTGCTGTTTTCTGACATTCAATTTCCTTTATCTAAGATTTTCTGAATGTTTGGCATGTGTGAAGCTGTAAGAATGCACATTGCCTTAGCTTGGGATTTGTAATGTAATATTAAGAGGCTTTAGTTACTCTTGATAAAATCAGAAGAAGAATCATTTTGGCAATGTCCCTGTTTCTTAATATGTATTTAATTATTCTATTATTTTAATTAATAATACTTGTTTCTAATAGGGCTATTTTGACCAGTGGTTATCAGTAGACGTGCTGTGTGGAGAGGTTCAATATCATATGAAGTATGTAATAAAAAATAATAAAGCACAAATGTTTTTCCTTTCTGCTGTATTTCAAAAATTAGGGAAACTTGCCAGAAGTGGAATTATGTTAACTCTCTGTATTCCTTGATGTTTGAAAGGAGAACGGAAATGAGAGTATTGTTCCAGTTTAATAGGTCTGTAGGAAAATGTGGACTTCCCTAGATGTTTGTCAGCAAGTCAGAACTCTTATTTCATATTTTATGCAAGTTTTAAATCTACCCTGAGTTTGTTTTTAACCAATAGCTATTATCCTTTGTGATCATCAGACTTATATCTACCTTTGTTTTCTTTGAAAATACTAACCTTTCGTTACTGATATGACAAGCTGTGATAAGATCAAATAATATCTTGAACACACAGACATGAAATCTGATAGGGACAGACTGCAGAACAGTCCTTAAAACTCAAACAAAGCATTTTCCATAAAACCCTGAAGTACAAAAGAATAAAATGGAAATATAAACATTCAATGAGTCAGACGTTCATATGATTTAGAATGAATATTTTCTTTATAAGAGAAGAAAAAGCAGCTCAATGTGTTTCTGTAAATATAACTAACCAAAACAGATTTTAGCTGGCAACTTGAAGTTGCTGATGTTTCTTGGAGGAGTTCAGATTCTCAGGTTGATACAGTGTTCCCTCCCACAGCTCTGACATGATATAAACTCTGAGCTCTGCAAAGCCCACTGCCAGTTCTCTTCGTGGACTCACTGCAACGGAGAGACTAAAGATGATTCCTTTCTTACCCATATTTTTCCTACTCTTGCTGTTTGTTGTTAACCCTGCAAAAGCCAATGGCCATTATGATAAGGTCTTGGCTCATAGCCGTATCAGGGCCGGGAACAGGGGTAAGTGGTTTGGTTTCATAGACTCTTTTTTCCCTTAGCTTATTTTATGTATAAGTATACATAAAGTTTCTTATATATACTTCAGGGATTTTTTTGCTACCTATTACAAAGTAATAAAAAGGAGGAAAATGTCAGTAT